ACATAGAACGTTCTCCTGAATTGGTAATTCTGTGTTTTATTAGGGTTTGAGTGTGCGTCTGTGTCTGTGTACGCTGTTTCTTCTACAGCCCCAGTTGGTTGTGGCAGATGGAGGTTCACACTCAGCCTGTGTCGGCTGGAGGTTTTTTCCAGTTAGCAAGGAGTTATCTTTTCTGCTGTCGCTATTAATCTGTATGATGTTTTTTTCAGGACTTTGAGAAAATGTTAATTTGTGCATTATAAGTAAACTGAACTGAAATTAATTCAATCCATAGTGAAATTAATCTTTTACTAACAGTCTGAAAAGCTAATCAGACAGAAAAACATGATCATACTTTAAAGCTCACTAAGGGAAACGGCTTTGCAATATACACACAAATATGTATACAGAGAGATGGACAGATTGATGGATGGACAGATGGATGTGTTTGTAGGGACTGTCTGAATTACACAATATTAAAGCTCAAATGGCTCTGTGTGCAAAACACCTTAAACAGTGCTTGATCCCCTAATCTGACCTAGTTGGTTATTAAGTTTTTGTTTATAATTCAAGATGCATTTATAAAAAGATGGAAGGGCTTTCCTTGTGGACAACAGAATATATAAACCCTGTTTGCCACTCTGATGGCAAGTTTCAGCTGTGTGAATGGTCTGAGTAGTCTTCTTAGACCTAAAAGCAATATCCTTTGCTTTCAGCACAGCATGCCGCTGCCTTTTATCCACGGCTTACTGTGAGATGATAGACATACTCCGAGCAGTTCGGGATTTCTGCTGCCACAGACACAAAGCAGTCATCCCATTTCAGGCATTGGTTAGGGTGGCTACCTTGACCATATCCAAATCTGTGCACTTTTAGCACCCCTGTAAGTTTGACATAGCTGCTTCAATCTTAGCCTGCAGCTGGTTACACTACTGCTTTTTTTTTTTTATGTTAAGCATACTAACATACAGGAATGTTCACAGAAAAGTTGTCTAAGAAGGCAATAAAGTTAAAAGAGATTGCCATAGCATATTTAAGTGTGCTTTATCAAGTATGCTATTATTCTTTAGTAAAAAAAAAAAGAAAAACACATGATTAGAATTAAGGGTGTTCTGATTAAAAACAAGCAATAGACATCTTTGAGCAATATGCTTTGAAAAGCTTCCTTTATATTTTCACATTTGGAATTCATCAGCTTCTTGCAATGCAAACGCAATGTAAAATCCATGTTTGATGATAGTCAGATAATAATTATGAAAGCTAAATTACTGTAAAAGAGCAGCTCCACCAAGTTGGCTGTGATCTTTTCCCCTGCACTATTTGTGGTATTTATATGATAGAAGTCTTGAATGTCCTTGGTTGAGCATTGGGTATCCTGAAAGATGGGGTGAAAGAGTCCTCAACCAGATGATTGGATGTTCAGAATATTCAAGCCCTATTTCTAGTGTGCAACAGTCATTTATGGCTTCAGGATTGCTCAATAATGCATCAGAACCCACGGGCCTTCAGGGGAAGCAGTCGGTAATCAAAAAGTAAGTTAAGGTTTTCATAATAGGGGCCTATAAATAACTTTAGACAGAAACGGGGGCATGTAAAATTTATAAGGGATGATTCAAACCCCATGAGGGGGATAAGCTTAATGTCATAGAAAAGTGTGTGTTGTTAAGAGGAGTAGTGATTTCATCATATAAGAAAGATGATTTTGCATGATGCCCTATTTGTGAATATTTAATATGTTTGCAAACAAATCAGCATTGTTCGAAACTTTCAATTGCTAAATTGAATCCATTATTGTGGAAATACACTCCATGTTTTTAAAGTCTTTAAACATTCAAAAAACTGTCAACAAGTTTAAACATCCAGTCTCTACAGTCATTACTACTACAGTAAGCCTCAAATAATACACAGAAAATAAATAAAAACTATACAGTGTTTAGATAAAGCTGTACTGGGGCTAAAAGCAGGACATTACCAAGTACAGAAAAACAAATATACTGGTAGATGCAAGGTTACGACTTTGGAAATAAACGCAGATACATCTTTTTTTCTAAAATTAATGCTTATGTTTTGTGAAATGTCTGCCTTATTATTTTGTGGTACAAATCAGTTACAAACTCCTGAGTGGAATGATAATAAAATTAAATCTACCAGTTTATGAATGATTTTGGGTGTTAGGGTTAACACATGAATCTTAACAAACTGAATCTCCCCATATTTTACGAATAAAGTAACTATTTCAAAACTAATAAAATAACGACTTTGCCTTTATCTCACAAATCTCATCATCCAAACCAGAGGTTTATTGATATTGGCATGCCCGTGTTTAAGCCACTAATTAATAGTTGAGGTCTTTGATATTTTCACTAATGAGATGAAGGTGAGGGCAAGTTTTTTAGAGGACATATGGTAAAAACCCTAAATGGTTTTCCCTGAATCAGAGCAGTAAGCCAATATAGGCAGTGTGGAAATTAAGGTATGACTTAAAAAGCAACTGAGTTTGTAACAAACCGTAGCTTTGACTGAATGATTTTTGGTGCATGTGTATTAACACTTGTGCAGCACTACAGTACAGGTTAAAATAAACATATTTTCATTTCAGTTCATTTGTATGTATGGCTATCTATCTTTTGTATATCTCTGGTTTGATAAACTCTGGCCTTAGAAGAACATACAGTACCACACGCACCAGACCCGTATCTCATCCCACTCAAATCTGAAAGGACTGAGTTGGTGGACTTTATTGATACCATGTTTTTAGCTAATTTAAACTATCAACATGAAAAACTGGCGCATCGTGGGTCTGCCTAGTCTTAGTAATGTTAGACTATTTTAGATTGTTTGAAAAATATTTTTTCAACCTTTGGTTTATCTAAATGTCACAATAAAAACACACTTTAAAGGACTTAAGTGTAAAATGATGAAATACATGGTTCTTTTAAAATAACAGAACAAGTATTTCAAAATTACATGAAAGTTCTCTCTTTAGTTCAACTTTAATCAAATGACGTATAAGTATCCGCTTTATATCAGTATGTAGGCTTCCAAGATTATAAACTTTAAATTTGATCCAAGTTATGCAGCTGTTCTCTGCTTTTCTGTGCAGAAATGACTGAATCCCTGAATTTGAAAAAGGAACAATTCCCTTTTCTTTCAAGATAGTAATTGGTTAATCGTTAAATGGAGTATATAGACTCTAAAATATACAATATTTTATGTGGATTTTTACAACATAAAATTGAAAAAAAAAAAAAAAAAAAGTATACAAACATTTTGCATTTAAGATGAAAAACCTTTTTGTCTGACAGTATGCTCTAACCAGAACTCCTCAAGGTGAATAGTTTTAGTTTCACCTGGTTTCAATTATGTAAAACATTTCCTTAATAAACAAAAATAATCAACCGATTAATCGATTTGCAAAACGATTGTTTTAACATTACAAAAAGAGAACCAGAGAAACTTGTAGATTAGAATAATAAAATTTTTGAATTACAGATAAGTCCTAAACTGAAATTCATACAGTTTGAAGCAATATATTCCGAAAAGTATATTTCTTCATTTAAAAGGTTGTAGCACATCAGTCCTTACAAGAATGGTGGCGTGCAGTATTCTAAGTTTAGACATAACCTTTTGAAGATCTTATTCAAATTTTATTGAATAAAAAACATGACATTATATATTCTCGTCTTTAATTCTGATCCTCATTTAAAATCTTTATGAAATGGGCTTGGAGGAAAAAAAAAGGTAAACAATAGATATACTTGAGGAACTGAGGAAAAGTGATTATAATAAATCTATAATTGATTTTTTAAATTTCATTGTTCTTGTTTTAAATTTCATTTTTCTTGTGACAATGACAATAAAGATAAATTGATAAATTGATAAGGCCTGTTTGAGCAATATTAAGGGCCCTACCTCATAGGAAAAAACATTGACAAAATACATAAATCGGTTATGAAAGTTTACTTTGTGTCAAAAATCTGAAGGCTCAATCTCATTATAGAATTTTTGGGCTTTGTCCTTTCTACAGAACTAATATGATTTGCTCTTGACGGATTTGATCCCAAATATAGAATTTACCTAATTTTGTCAGCGTGTCCTTGTTATCTAGAAGGAAGCCTCAGCTACATGCAGGGGATCATTGTGTTATGGTTGCTTACAGTAGTTATGGACCATTTTAGGGTCTTTTTACACACCAGAATATTAACACATTACTCTCATAATATCTAATAAAGATACAGCTTGCTCAACATTTATCCTTGTCATTTTTATATAAACTAAAGATTCCTCTGCTTTCCTTTGGCTTCGTGTCTGTGGTCTGTGTGCGCTTAGTCACTGCATAGCAATGCTCAGTGATTACCAGGAGCCTCACACTAAGCCTCATCTATCTGCCTGGCTGCCTGTTAATCTGCCTGACCGCCCTGCTTATTCTCCCACAATCTCCAGGATTCAAGTACACACCGGTTCAGGCAACACTGGCTAGTATTCCGCTCATACACTGTGACTGGTCAGAGCCACTCAATCAAATCCACTTATCAGCAGCTGACCTTCGATTTTTTTTTTCATCCAGCATCCACCTCTACTCACTGACTCCAGACTTGACTTTTATTGCATTTGGTGACAGTTTCCTGGTTTTCAAAATCAAATCTCTAAAAAAAAAAAAAACACAGAACCCTAAACAAATATCAGAGAAAAGTGTATTCGCAATCCCTGTTGCAGTGTGGATACATCCCTATTGGTTATTTTAAGACTGGACACATATTGTACTTTCTATTAGCCTTTTTTTAGAAGAGTGGTGCATAATAAAATAAATGTTTGTTGAAAAACTTCAAAACTCCCTGCAGCAAAGTGGTACAAAAAGATCAATACATGAATAACAAATAGCATAAATAATAAATCAGATTTGAGAGTACCTAATAGTTGAACAGCAATTCGCTGGCATACAGTAACAAAGTATATGAAGGGACAGCAATTATTATTTTTATACAATTAAATGTGAAACAAATAAAAATGTCATCACTTACCATCAAATTTTTTATGTCTAGAGATAAAAGTTGTTCTCATGTTGTAGCTGCTGTTTTCAACCATAATCTCAAGTTCATGTTTGCTTTGCTGGCTGAGTTTGTCCTCCATCTCAGACGTGCAGCAGGTGTAACCCTTAGGACAGACACGCAGGTGCTCACCTGAAAAAGACAGCGGCATGGTGAACAATTTTACTTTGCCACAGGATTTGGATTTTTCAAAAGGCTGCACTAAGTCTTTGATCAAAAATCTCAGGTGCTATCAAAGATAGGCAGACTGTAACTAATGTAAAAGGATAATGTTTATTGGTGAAACAGAAAGTAACTTTTATAAACCAGTTTCTACCCCCCCCAGCCCCCCCCCCCCCCCCCTAGTATCGTTGTCAAATCACCACAACATGAGATAATAGGTGCTGTCTTAGAGCAGAGTCAGGTCAGGTCAGACTTATCTATGCGGTGCAACATAACAATAAAAAATAGCCTTAAGGCATGCAGAAAGATGGAGCCTGGCACAGCTTCAAACTATGACATCAGCCAAACAATCTTGGATAATGGTTCCATTAGCAGATATCTGTTCACTAGGGGCCAGCCTAACGAGCCATAAACAAATCACCAACATATTGGGTCATGACAAGCAACAACTTATTATCCATTCACCAATGTTAGTATTATTTTAGATTCACCTCTATTTTAAAAATAAGTAAAATAAAAACATTATCGCTGGAGTTAAATATTTGACTTTTTAGCTGTTAATTGCCACAAGAAGTTTATCTGATAGTTGCAAGCAGTATTTGAAGGGAAAACAGTGCAGATCCTTTATAGTGCAAAAATTCACCAAATGATTAATCAACAGGGTTGTTCTCTCTGTGAAATGACCAGCATGAAATTAACATAGGTATTTATGATAATTCTTTTAAAACCTGTTAGGGAATAAAAAGCTGAGAGTTGTATACATAAAGATCAGTCGCATTGTTGATTTGGTGCTGATTACCACAACTTTATCTTTATTACATTTTCTATGCAAATAGACTTATTTCTTTCTAATTTTTTATCAATGATTAAAATTGAAATCATAATTGATATTTCATCTTTCTAAACAAAATTAACACAGAAACAAAAATATATTCCCAATTATTATGATTAACAGCTACTAGCCTTTTCTTCTTATAAATGACAACTTGGATTATCTATTAGATAAGAGAAGAGATAGGATAAGATAGGACTTTATTGATCTCACCATGGAGAAATTCACTTGAGACATCAGCTGCAATAAAAAATAGATGGAAAAGAAGAAAACGGTGCATCAAAAAGTAAGAATTAAATGATTAACTTAATTTACCAGTAAATGTGGATTTTTAAACCAGCTGTGAACCTGGATTTGAATTAACCACTTGAAAAATGTCAACAACATTATTTTTACAATGGCAATTGGTAGTTAGTCATCATAAACCATACCACAAAAATGTCTATATAATCAAGCTTTTAACTCCAGAGGAGTAATCCTGTTCTAGCAACAAGCAGCTAGTTGTTGTCAGTTCTTTCTGAAGATGGCTGTGTTACTTTCGGCTGCAGTCTTGCATAGGCCTTGCAGCCCGGCAACTGGTTTGTTTGCAGTGCAAAGGGGTGATGCAGGCTGTGGTCAGAGCAGCAAGGAAGTGGACAAGTGGGGTTCTGCTGCACCCCGCGGTTTAAAAAGGAAAGGGAAGACTCATGCAATTCTTCTCTCATCCTTGGCTTTTGGCAGTGGTGGGTTGGGCAGAGCTTCTGGTTCACTCGATCTGCATAGAGTGGGAAGGCTGGCTGCAGGAGCTCATGGCTACAGCTTTAGCAATTCAAGCAGGTAGTAGGTTGCTTTGCTTGGCCAAATCAATTTGGTACATTATGGTTCAGACAGCTTTCAGAAAGAAGGAATGTTTCTCAGATTATCCCAGGTTCTCCCTGTTATCCAACAATGGAGGTGGTTTGTTCTTTATTGGCACGCTTGACAGGAGAGATAATCTGCAGCATTTTCTTTAAAAGAATGAAAGGAAGATGGCCTACAGCTTCAACCAGCAAGTTGCAGCACCACAAGGTTGTGTGTTCCCAGCATGGCAGAGCTCAGCTGAGTTGCCTAATATTGTTCAGGAAATCTTTAAGAATAAGTAATTTAGTGCTTGCTCTCATTCTGTACTGTTTGTCGGCTGATTACCAGGACAACTAATGCTAAAAGTTAGTGTTACCAATCAAAGAAGTCCCCAAAGAAAAACTGACAAATTCTGTCTAGATTCTGAGCCCCTTTAGGACCCTGTCACACCTTGCTGATTTAGACAGCGTATGCCCGACGTCCCAGAATGTCCTAAAATGCTGTCAAACGCTGAACTTTCTATGTAATTTTTAAATTTTGGGCGTTTACATAGCATATTCATAACGGGTCCAGAACTTATGTCCAACGACAGGCTAACTTATACATAACACATGGCAGCGTAATGCCCATGAAATGATGCTTGTGCATCAGTTAAAGCTCCTCCCCTCAGGCGTGATGCGCCCTGAGGCGCCAGGTCTGCATAAAAAGGTTTCTTTTATTGCGGTATTAACATAGCGGCTGTTTACCGGCAGTTCCCAAAAAAAGAATGAATAAAAGGAAAAAGAAAAAAGAAAGAAAGATGGTTTGCAATTGCAAACCTAGCATGTCTGCTAGGAAGTTTTTAGTAGTGGGCGTGAAGGCAAGAAGCATCCATCAAACTGACCTTCTCACTCACACTATGATGACGATGAAGTCTGGAGGAGAAATAACGGTTTCCTCCTGTGAACCCCCCTTCATACCAAAATGCTGCCAATGTGCCATTATACAGTAGATGTACGTTAGAAACACGTTCAGTGGTCGTCTGGAACACGTCAAATAAATTGATATTCACTGGAAATAAGTTCTTGAAAAGTTTCACATCAGTTATGAACATGTTACTCATAGTTTTTGGATAAGCTGGACACCATGATTTATGAGCAGGGTTGGGTAAGTTACTTTAAAAATGTAATCCGTTACAGTTACAAGTTAACTTGT